AGCTCTTAGAAGGGCCTCTTTAGTTGATACTTTGGTCAGTCTGATGACTGCATGTCGTGACATCTTCCTGTTTGCATTGAATCTCCCAGGGGTCCTCTGAGCTTCTTGAACTTGTATATCAAGATTTTGAGCAAGGCCTGGGAAATTTTCCTCTATTATATCTTCAAACAGCTTGTCCAACCCTTAAGTGTTATCTTCTTCCCCTTCTGGTAACCCTATGACCCTCACGTTAGGTTTCTTCACATAATCCCACAGCTCTTGTAGGCTTTGCTCTTTTCTCTTGTTTCTCTGCTCTATTTCTGTGACTGATTTATTTAATTGGAGGGTGTTATCTTCAAGCTCTGAGATTCTTTCTTCTGTTTGATCTACCCTGTTCTTGAGACTTTCCACTGTATTTTGTAGTTCCTTGAATTGATTCTTCATTTCCAGGAGTTCGGTTAAACTTTTCTTCATTGTGTCCATTTCTTTTCCAGATCCTGGAGGCTTTTTGTGGTTTCTTTGTGTTTTTTGAGTTGTTGTTGCAGCTCGGTGAGTGTTTTATGATCCACAGACGAATGAGGCCTCTCTGGAGGCCAATGGAGATTGCTTTATGGTAGCTTTAGCCGTCGTAGAGTTTGCCGTGGTGATGTCTGAGACTGTTGCGATCCATTCTAGGGGGCGGGGCTCCTCTTTGGGGAAGTTTTCACGTGCTACTGTTTCAAGCCTGGGCATACATATTTCCCTCGGAGTTTTCGCTGATTTCTTCCCCTATCGATCAGTTGTTGTTTCTTTACTTTAGGTTTTTGTTTGGGTATTCACACGCCTTGTTTAGTTTCTGAGCCGGAAGGTGGTGTCTGTGGGTGAGATTTGTCCACTCCGTCCTGATAAGGGTGTGCAGGATGCTCTCCCTGTCAGTAGGTGGCGCTTGTTTGGAGGAACAGGCTACACTGTTGTTATTATGCCTTGTTATCAGCTCTTGTTCCTGTAGAGAGAACTCTAGTGCCTCAGGTGGTGGGTGGGGCCCTGGGACTTCCAGGTGTGTCCTTTTCTCCCCTTCAATGAGGGCTAGTCTAGGAGAGAGTCTGGGCAGAGCTGGGTTGGGTAAGCCTGCCCTCAGGCAACACCAATGTCGTTAGCAGGGGTCAAAGTTCTGTTCTCTGCTTCCAGGCAAAGCTTTCAGGTCGGGGCTGGAATGGCCCGGCTCAGTCAGAGAGTCTGCATGTCGGGATGGGGCTGTCTGAGACCCGCAGTCTGGAGTGGGCCTGGCTTCTTTCCACCGTCCCCAACTCCGCAGCTACTGCTGGGCCTCTGCCCGAAGGCCAGACCACATGCCACCACTCCTCCCCTGGCTGTGCAACCTGCGGGGAGGTTCCCTACGTGGGAATGCCACCTGGGCTGGGTGCAGGGCCTCCCTTTGGGGGGAGGGTTGCCCTCTAGGATGCTGATCTGCCCCTGAAGGCACACACACTGCAGTAGGCTGTTCACAAATATCCCTTCTGTGCCCCGGGCAATGCGAGGCCTTGGTGCACAGGATGTGGTCTGCAGGTCTGACCTCTGGGTCCCAGAGTTCAAACTATATCCCCACCAGGGAGAGCAGTGCCAGTCCCAATTCACCCACAGGGAGCCCAAGCTGCGTCTATGTCTCTCAACCTCAGAGTCTGCCCCGTTCTCCTGGGATCACCGTGCCAGCAGCACCTGCGAGGGCTGGCAGGTAGGGAGCTCACAGTCTGAGTTCCCCTTAGTCAGCTGTAGGGTCCCAAAAGGGAAGGTCTCGTTCCTGTAGGTGCCTCTGGCTGGTGGCTATATTGTCTCTCTGTCTCTCTGGACAGCCGCTGGTAGGGTGGGGGAGAGGAGGAGGAGGCAATATGGCGTCTGCCATGCGGCTCAGGTCTGTGCACACGGAGGTGCCCTGAGGGAGTTGGGAGCCTGGTGCCGCGTCCACCACTGGCTTACTGCTCACTGGCAGCGGCCGTCGCTGGGCTGGTGTCGGCAGGTCTCTCCACTGGCTGGGGAGCCCACCAGCAGTCCGGGATGCAGGGGAGGGGAAACGGCCGATACTTCCCGCTGGTCTCCGGGCTGCTCCGGCAGTCCCAGCTTCCAGTTCTCCTCCCTGACCTCCTCCCGTGGAGTCTCCCGTGGTCTCAGGTACTCCTCCTTCGACCCTCATCCGATGTAGGCTCGTCTTCTTGCTTCTTTCTTCTGATTTCTGCTAGAATCTATCTTTTCTGCAGAGACACTCTGTTTGGCGGTGTTTCTCATCCGCCATCTTTTTTCTGACAATTTTTTACTGTCTGTCTTTTTCTTATTGACTTACAGGAATTCTTTATGTATTCTGGATATGAGTCCTTTTTCAAGTATTATAAATATCGTCTCCCACTTTATGTCTTGCCTTTTCACTTTCATTATGGTTTCTTTGGCTTTTTAAAAATATAATGAACAAAACTTGTTAATTTGACTTACAGTACAATACATCAAGCTTTCTGGTTGGTGCTTTCTATACCCAACTTAAAAATGCTGTACCCCAGTTAGTCAGCAGTGGAGGATTCAATTGCAGCTACACCGACTCTCAGTAACTTCAATTTAATCTGTGTATGCTGAGACCAAGAAAATATAGCTGGTTGGTGGACCCAAGTCCTAATCATATGACTTAAAATGAATGTCCCTTTCTTTCCAAGTTCGTGAAGATGGGAGAATGGCTTTTGAATAGGAAATTAGCAATGTCTGCTAAAAGCTGCATCCCATGAGTTTTGATATATAATACATTATCATTTAAAGTTAAAATTTTTAAATTTTAATTTTTTGCTCATGAATTATTTAGAAGATTTTTGGAGGGTGGCTTTTTGTTATTAATTTCTAATTTTATGGCATTTTGGTCAAAATTTGTGTTAAATATGGTATCAGTTCCTTGGTATTGAAAATTGCTTTGTGGCCTAGTACACACTCAATTTTTATAACTGTTGCGGGTGTGTTTGGAAAATACGGAAAATACATGACTTTTCTCTTTCTAAGGTATAGCACTCCACAAAATCAAGCCTATTAATTGTGTCACTCAAATATTTTCTCTCATTACTAGTGTTTTGATGGTTTCTGATGGTGATATATTAAAATTCCCCACTATATTTTGGTATAAAAAGCAAAGACGCCTGTGTGTTTGGGCAGTGTAGTCTTTGAACATCTCTTAGCTGAGGATGGGAGGAAGGCAGGGAAGAGTATTAATTATGCTTAGAAGCACTATGGCAGTATCCAAGACTGTGAAAATTATACTACATATGGCACTGGAACACCTGCCTTCCATCTTAGATAAGTTCTAGAGAAAAGGAAAACACTACTGTCTCTTCTCCTCTTTGTCCTCCAAGAACTTCATCTGTATTTAGCCAAACCAACTGCCCCTAGGCAAAGAAAATGAAGCATTTTGGGTTATGTGTAGATTTGTATGTTGAAAGGGAGGGCCCATTAGACTTGGAGCTTGTTTTTGCTAGCTACTTCTGCACATATGTGAGTATTCCTATCAGTTTAGTAGGATATGTACACCTGGATGTTTGCCATCCTGTGTGTTAGTCTTAGGATATGTGGTCCTATTAACAAATTTGTCAGGAGTTAGAGCATATTAGTTTTCCATTGCTGTCTAACAAATTACCACAAATTTAGCAGCTTAGAACCACACATGGATTATCTCTCAGTTTCCATGAGTCAGGAGTCCTGGCACAACTTAGCTGGGTACTCTGCTCAGGATCTTACAAGGTTGCAATCAGGATATTGACATTGCTGTGTTCCTTTTTGCAGTTCTTCCAAATTTACAAGGTCATTGGCAGAATTTGGTTCCTTGTGGTTGCAGGAATGAGGTCCCTGATTTCTTGCTGCCTCCCAAGGGGGGCTGGAGAAGCCACTGTCAGCTTCTAGAGAAACTTGCCTAGTTCCTCTCACAACATGGCAGCTTACTTCTTCAAGGCCAGCAGGAGACTCTAGTCTGTTAAAACAGAGTCTTATATGATATAATAAGCATGAGAGTGACCTCTCATCACCCTTGTCATTGTCTAGATGCAAGTCATGGGTTCCACCTACACTCAAGAGGATTATACAAGGAAGTGACTCATTGGAGTCATCTTAGAATTCTGCCTACCACTTGGAATTCTGCCTTACCTGTTATGTAAACTGTCTTTGTTCCAACCAACTTGTGAGATCATCAAAGGAAAGATAGGAAGGGGCTATGTGCACAGTTGCTGGTAAAGATTACTTTTCTTTCCATTAAAGCTAAAGATATTTGAGGAGAGGGGCATAGGCTTCAGATGTAGCAGAGCTCTGAAGTTGGAATGTTGCATGGACAAAAAAATAAGCCCCTAGGGTCAAGCTTTGGGCTCCTTGTACCTCCTCCATTGTGTACATACATTTTTGTCCACATTTTTCAGATTGGCTACTACTGCAGGTCTCTAGCAGAGTCTTCAATGAAGGAGAACCTCTGTCCTTGAGGTGTCATGGATGGAAGAATAAGCCAGTGTACAATGTGATTTTCTATCAAAATGGTAAAGCCTTGAAGTTTTTTCCTCAGAATTCTGAACTCACCATTCTGAAAACCAACATGAGTCACAATGGCATCTATCACTGCTCAGGCATGGGAAGGCATCGCTACACCTCAGCAGGAGTATCTGTTACTGTGAAAGGTATTGCATCTGAAAAGTCATAGAGCTATTGTCGTAAGGACCAGAGGGACCATCGTAAATCAGCTAAAATCCTCACTTTGATTTACAAGTGAAGAAACTGAGCTCTAGAGAGGTAAACTGCCTTTCTGAAGGCCACACAGTGACCAGTGGCTGGGCTGAGACCAGAAGTGAGTTCTTAGGGCCCAAGTGAATTGCTGTTTCCAATATACCACAGTGCCTCATCAATAATCACAGGAGCTAATGTCAAAGTCAGGCCATAGTGGAAATCCATTTAATCAATTTTATTTTCATTGTAAGGGGTAGAGATTCACACAAGGTAGCTAAGAGAGTTACTAGAAAATAATGCAATGGAATCTCATGAAAGTGCCACAGATATAGAAACAAGGAAGATATTAGGAACTGGTTATACTTTCCGTCTATCGCTCAATGACAATGTGACCTCTCTGGTCCCACTTCTTTCTAAGCATCTGCAAACTAGGCAGCTTCCTTTGTTCCAGTTTGCACATGGCCTTGTTCTGACTCTTTCACTCTTTCCTCTTAGTATTCACAACCAGTAGCCACTTTTTTCAGCCTGAAAAATAAGTTCATTCCTGAACAAAATTATTGTCCCAGATTACTTTTTGAGTCAGGAACACAAGTAATGAGTTGCTGAACTGTCAAGTGTATGGGTCAATGTTCGTTCCTGGTTGGCCATTGCCAAAAGGTCATGGTTATATAATAGATTGATCACGTGGACCACTCAGGGAAGCATGGACCATGTAGGGGTATTTTCCTCAATAGGATTGAGCAAGTTGGCAACTGTCATTATGTCTATTAGGAAACCCTAAGAATGTCTCTCTGCTGGAAGTAGGGAAAGTTATGCCTTATGATGTATTCTCCGGGGACAGGTTTTCCTGGGGGGGGGGGGGCGGGGAAGGTGTCTTTTTTGTAAAAAGAACCTTGACACTAAACAGGCAACCCTGTCCCCCACCAACTTTCTCTTTAGAGCTATTCCCACCTCCAGTGCTGACAGCATCCTTGGCACTCCCGCTCTTCGAGGGGAATCTGGTCACACTGAGCTGTGAAACAAAGTTGCTCCCACAGAGGCCTGGTCTGCAGCTCTACTTTTCCTTCCACATGGGCAGCAAGACCCTGAGGGCCAGGAACACATCCTCAGAATACCAGATACTCACTGCTAGGAAAGAGGATTCTGGGTTATACTGGTGTGAGGCAGCGACCGAAGATGGAAATGTCCTTAAGCACAGCCCTGAGTTGGAGCTTCAAGTGCTTGGTAAGAACAATGGGGGGTGACTGGCACAGGAGAAGGGGCTCCCTTTTTGCCAGCAGGACTGAGGTTTGTTAAACTGTTTCATGGCCCAGCCAGGGGGAGGAAGTCTTTTCAGGAAAAGCCCATGAGCAAGCCTTTTTGTCCTTGATTCAGAACATCACTATTCTCCTCACAAACTTTATTAAATTTTCTTTCTTTTCCTTTCTTTATTCTTTTCCTTTTCTTCCCCATGGCTTTCCTTCCTTTTGTCGTTCTGTCCTCCTTTTCTTCTCCTTTCTTCTTTTCTTTTCTCCTTCCCTCCTGTCTTCCTCCCCCCAACTTCCCTGCCCTCCCTGTTTCTTCTCTGTCTCTCCTTCTGCTTCCCTCCCTTCCTTCCCTCACCAACAATCTCAGAAATAATATACTGAGTTCTTCATATCTATTGGCATAGATCTGGCCATATAAAGACACTGGGGTGCAGTTCTTGCTTCGAGCAGTTCACATGGTGGATTTATAAGAGTGATTTTATAAACTGCACATATCTACCTGCCCAAATGTCTATATGAAACTGAGGTGGGGGGATTGTGAACTTCAGAAAAACAAGGCTTTGGGGGAAAAAGTTAATATTCAGCTGAAATTCATTTCAAGCATTAAATGGCATAGAAATAGTAGTTGTCTCTGAAACTAGGGAGTAAATCTACTGATAGGCCCCAGCAGTTAAACTATTCCCAGGAACCTGCTCCCTGTCTGTCCACCACACAGCCCAGCTGGAGCTACCTCTAGTTCCTTTCTGCCCCTGAAATTGCCAGTGCCTCCTTGGGGACAGGCACATCAGGTCTCAGCCAACCTTCTCTTCCAAACATAACTCAGCCAGATCCCTCTGATTTCTTAATAGCACTTCTTCGCTTTGTCTTTTTCTGTTTCAGGCCTCCAATCATCCACTCCTCCATGGTTTAAAATCCTTTTCTATTTGACAGTAGGAATAATGTTTTTTGTGGACACTATTCTCTGTGTGACAATACATAAAAAGCTACAAAGAAAGAAAAAGTGGAATTTAGCAATCTCTTTGGATTCTGATCGTGGAAAGAAGGTAACTTCCTGCCTTCAAAAAGACAGACACTTACAAGAAGTGCTAAAGTGTCAGAAACAAAAAGAAGAAAAGCTGCAAGAAAGGATACACCAAAAGAAGCCAAATGAGGAAGAGTGGCAGCAGCTTACTGTGTAGCCATGGATCTGCACAGTCCCCTGCCCCTTTCTCTCTGTGTGAGCACCAGAGCACAACAGCCAATGACATTAGAACTGTGGGTCTCATGGCATGTAACACAAATAAAGCAAAAAAAAAAGAGCTGAATTCAATAGAAATAAATTTGGAAATTTGGTAATTAGAGATGATTTGAAGTGATGCCTACTCTAAAGAAATCTTTAAACACTTGGAAGTCAAATGTAGCCTGATTATCCTATTAGGTAGTTTGAAAAATAATATATTTCTGAGAACGGGGTAAAACTTTGAGCGTGTACTAGAGATTAAGACAAAGAAACAGAGAAAGAATGAGAAAGAGAGGGGGATAGAGAAAGAGAAAGACAGACACAGAGACAGGAGGGGGTGGATTTCAGGGAGACAAGAGGGAATATTGTAGACCAAAAAGAAGAAAATAGAACTTACAAATGAGTTCTGAGGGACTGTTTGAATCAGAGAGCTCACACCTCTCTGTGTTCAGAATAATTCTTTTCTTTTTTAGTTTACTAACAGAGAATGTTTCCATACATGGTATAGGGATACAAGAGAGTAACTTATGATGAGAAATGGGTGCGTTATTCGTGCCCTTTCATTTGGGGCTTTCTCATAACCTCCCTATTTCCAGACATAATATAGATCTGGCCAGTGCCAGTCCCTTGCCACATAAGAAGGAAAAATGTAACTGCTGCTTTCCCTAATAAATAAATCCAGATCTCCAAGCATGACACTGCAAGGGGAAACTTCAAGTGGGAAGAAGCAGTGATACTATAAAGTGCCAGCTCTTACCTCTAGAGTCTTACTTTACCCTTCTGGTTTTCTGGGTAATTACTCACTAGCTTCAAGAAATGCTGCTCTCCCACTTGGGATATAGTTTGGAGACAAAATATTTTTCTGCTACTCTATAACATAGCTGAGATAAAAACTGAAATATATGCATAAGACTTTACTAAAAGCTTGAAAAAGAACAAAAAGAGTATAGCAAACAAACCACATGATTTTAGATTATTTGATTAACAAAATGTAGCTTATCTGCCAAACAAGGATGCATCCTTGCCCAGCCTCCATCCTGGCTCCCCATGGCAGAGGTCACCTTCAACACCAAGCATCTAGGAGCACCCTCAAGCAACTTGGGGCTGGAAGTAGATGCAACAGCTCCTGAGCCCACTGCTTTCCTGTCTGTGGACAATGCGCCTATTCTCCCCTTCACCTTCAGAAAAAAGTACAATAATTGTCATCTCAATAGAAGCACAGCATCTCCAACATTTGTGTTAAAAGAAATGGTCACATATACTAGCAGGAGTTTTGTTGATTGCATGTAATGTTTTTATGAACTGGGAAAGCAAGAAAATGAGAATTATAGGGAATGAATCCCATAAGAAAGTGGCACAAAGACCCCCTATAGAAGACTCTAGCCTGAGGAGTTGGAAATTGAAGCAGGAAGTGACATTGATATTCAGAAGAGAGAGCTCTGCTTACCCTTACAGGGCAGACATAATTTCAGGGAAAGGGAACCCTAGGAGTAGAAGGTGGGAGGGCAGCGCTGATCTGGACAAAGGGCTATGACCTGCAGTGAAACTAGATAAGGCCAGTCACTGCTAAAGCATCACAAAGTGCTTCCTCCATCCCAACCTCCCCACTCATGCTTCCTCTTCAGATTTTTCTGTGCTTATATCTTTTTTTTTTTTTTTTGAGACAGAGTCTCGCTTTGTTGTCCAGGCTAGAGTGAGTGCCGTGGCGTCAGGCTAGCTCACAGCAACCTCAAACTCCTGGGCTTGAGCAATTCTGCTGCCTCAGCCTCCTGAGTAGCTGGGACTACAGGCATGCGCCACCATGCCCGGCTAATTTTTTATATACATATCAGTTGGCCAATTAATTTCTTTCTATTTATAGTAGAGACGGGGTCTCGCTCTTGCTCAGGCTGGTTTTGAACTCCTGACCTTGAGCAATCCGCCCGCCTCGGCCTCCCAGAGAGCTAGGATTACAGGCGTGAGCCACCACGCCCGGCTCTGTGCTTATATCTTTGTCACAATTACTTCTTGTATGTACTTTAGTACTTAAATAATTGATTTGATTAAGCCAATTTCTTAGTTGAACAATTTGCATTCCAATCAATTTCTGGCTTATAGCTGTCCCAGGGACAGGTTCTTGGAGTCCCCCAGATTGGGGCCTATGTGCCTGTTCCCCAAGCCTCAGGGCTGGGCTGATCAAGGCCTGGCAACATTTCATACCTTCTCTCTGGCACTTCTCCCTATCTAAGGGCTCACTCTTCTTTATTTTTACTCCAACCAGTACTGGAAAGAAACACAAAAATCACTTGACCCTTTTGGAAAGAGAAGCCCAAAGGAACCTGGATCCCTTCCCTTGTTCACCATCCCCCACCTTTGGGGAAAGCCCATGTATGTGGGTGGGGAGGGGGGCTGGTAGTGGTTAACTCCATCTGGGGACAGGGAAACCATAAGAAGGAAAGTGAAAGTCTCAGGCCCGGTGCAGTGCGGTGGCTCACACCTGTAATCCTAGCACTCTGGGAGGCTGAGGCAGGAGGATTGCTCGAGGTCAGGAAAGTGAAAGTCTCTCTAGGTTTGTCCTACAGACAAATTAACAGGCACCCACAGGGAAAGTTTACCTCAGTGTCATTTTTGCAATAACTAAATCCACTTTATTTCAGACATAAAGACAAATGCACTGATCAATTTAGATTCTTCACACCAGTTTTTTAGTTTGAGGAGAGTAGCAAAGCTGAAACAAATCAAAGAGATGGTTGTGTACCCCAGCCTTTGCAGTAGGAGTCTTGGCCTTATCACTGGGGAAGAGCCATTCTGTTCTTATGGCCTGTGTGCCACCACTAGTCAGTCCCACATCTCCTCTGCATACCCCAGAGGTCACCTGCAGGCAGTTCTCCCAAATGCCTCAGATTCTCTTGGGGACCCTCTGTACCAGCTGGCATCCAGGGCATGCCAGAAGTCCCAACAAGGCAATAGATGTCCCCCTACCTCAGGATCTGCCCCCACCTTTCCTCCTAACCACTAGGGAAGCTAAATCACAGTATAATCCAGTTGGGGCCTGATGAGAAAAGAAAAGGACTATAACCCAATAGAGATACAAAACCTAGCCTACATTTACCCACAGGAGCCTGGAAATGTACATAGGACTAGATTCTAGAGGTATTTGATCAAGGGAGCCAGAACATAAAGTTGGATAGAGAAAAGTTTATTGACTTGGGAGTTCTTTCCTGAGATACAAGATTTAGCACCATGGCAAAAACCCCAGGAGTTGGTGCCAACTCATTACTAAGATGGTTCCTAGAAGAGTGGAAAAAGTTATGGCCAATATTGAGTGAAGCTTAAATGCCAGTATGATCCTGGAAGACAATGAAGAAAGGGATTAAAAAGCTTAGAGAAGTGGGCATGCTCCCATGAGTATACTTTGTACGGCCAGAAGATCTGCCAGATGATTATGTTTCATGAAAGGGTCTAAAAGAAATATCATTTACCAAGGCAGTAAGGAACATATTGGTGAGAAGGGCATAAGAATTTCTAAAATATTCAATGGTGGCATTCCTATAACAAAGGCTGAGGGTAGAAGGGGAAGTCATAGAATTTGGCTCACTGATAACAATGGGGGTGATAAGATTCTAAAACAGATGCTATTTATTAACCATCAGAAACCAGGAAATCACAGTCAGCATAATGACCAGCAAGGTTAGAGAGACATCCAGGAAAGCCCGACCTCCAGAATTAAGGAAATGATTAATAGAACATGGAATCCCCATGAGCACAAACAGATTGGCACTCAACAAGGATACTACTAAGTTTATAACGGCAGAAGAAACCAAGAATGTATGACAGAGAGGTTAATGTCAGTTTTCAGACTCAGAAACTATTAACTGAAGAGGTAGCTGGGTGCCCAGGATAAAGGACGCTGAAATACCATGGCAAGTACCCAAGGTCATTTAATTCACATAACTCTGCACTGGAGAAAGGGGACTACCCAAACAATTTGTGGAGTATTAGACACAGGGTTTGAGTTGACACTGATACTTGAGAACCAAAGCATCAAACAGCTTTCTTGTTAGAGTGGGGTCCTTTGAGGTCCAAGTAATAAATAGAGTCCTGGCCATGGTCTGGCTTGCAGACTTTGTTCCCATGTTGAGATGTTCTGAACACTGGTGTGTTGTAGAGAGGTAGGGCAGAATTTATACAGACCATTTTCTTTCAAGATCTTGCTTCTTTCTTACTCTATTATCAAAAATGTTTGGCTCCTGAGGGAGAGTTTCATGAGAGCAAAGCAAAGAGAATGTAAGAAATATTGATAACAACTGCACTTTATTTCATCAAGGTAACAAACTTACGCACAACTCTACACCTGCTCTATTTATGTGGGTTAGGCTGGGTTATGTTAAGGTAACAACTCCAAAATCTCAGTGTCTTAAAACAACAAAGGTTTGTTATGTATTCATGTTATATCAGTCAGTTGAGAGGGGTGATAAAAGTGCCATTATCTGGATCACAGCCAGTTGTTGCCTCAGAGTGAAGGAGAGTTTTAGAGTATCTCAAACCAGGTATTAAATGTTTCACCCCAGAATAGGCACACAATACTTCTAACTCATTGGTCAGAACAAGTTACATAGCTCCACCCAACCACAAAAAGGATGTAAAATCCTACAGAAAGCATAATGCAAGAAGCTGAAAATATTGTGTGAACAGCATCAATGCTATCTCAAAGAGTATTTAAGGTATGTAAAATAATGCTGGAAAATATCAACTGGCTTCAAAGAACAGTCTCCCTGCATTTTCACCATTGTCAGTAACCGACAATGGTCGATATCTCATTCATCCATGACTCCGTCTATTTCTCAGTTGCATAACCTGCATGATTTCAAAAAGAAGATGAAAAGCTCTTTTACTTCTGATAGATCAACGCTGTGTCTTCAACTAAAAGGAACACATTGAAGATAAGTCAGTGTTTTGTATTGTCTTGAACAATTTAGAAAAACTGTTTCATTATTTTTGCGAAGAAAGTACTGGATACTGTAAATCCATATTCGTATTTTTGTTTGCAAATCTACTTGCTGTCTCTCACCAATCATTTCTCTCTGTTCCTATCAGGATGTGTCG